ATGTAGTAATTAAAAAACTTCCCACAAAGAAAAAGATCAGTGAGCAGCTGAGAGTGGGTCTGTAGTATACTCTAAGCTTCTACATACTAAACAGCCACTTGAAAATTCATTACAATGTTCATATTACAGCCTTGTAAATATAATTCATTGTAGAACCAAATGGTATACTAGAAATACAATTTATCCTCTAAAGTTCCAATGTTACCAACCCTATGCCTCAAAGGTTTCTTACAATCAAATTCAATTCAAACATTTGTTTATGACATCAGTTTCAAAATCATGCCCCATTTTCCCTTGCTCCATTTTTGAACTATGTCTTTCTAGCATTTTCTGATTTTATCATTTAAGATTTCCCAACATCTCTTTCTTACTGTGAATTCTACTGGATCCCCTTCCACCCTGAAGACCTGCTAGCTATTATTCTGGGCCTTCCTTCACTGAGTTCCTTAGTTGAAACCACTATAACCTCCATCCTAGAAATCCCTCATTTTGGTAAAGTACTTCAAATAACTTCCTAAGAAAGAGTGATTTAGAGGAAAGCTTTCTGAATTCTTGCATTCCTGAACATGTTTTTATTTTGCTCTAACAAATTCTTAGGTGGTGTAGTTAATGTCTTTGGCTGCTAACCAAAATGCAAAATGTTGGAGGTTCAATTTCCCTTAGAAGTGCCTTGGAGAAAAGGCCTGGTAATCTACGCCCAAAAAGTCAGTCCTTGAAAACCTTATGGAACACAGATCTACTCCGATATACATGAGGTTGCCGTAAGTCAGAATCCACTTGACAACATTTTTTTTTTAAACGCCTGATTATTACTATCACTATAGAATCTGAGGTGTTGAAAGGTGTTGCTCCTAACTTGAAAGGTGTTGCTCTACTAGCTTCTACCATCCAGCATTCCTGATAAATATGCTGCTTTTCTGATTTTCTGTTCCTTTCGAGGTCACCTATTTTTTTCTCTCTGAAATCTTTCAGAATCTTCTCTTTATGCTTTGTATTCTGAAATTTCACACTGATATGTCTAGGTATGGGTCTCTGACACACCATGGGTTCTTTCTATTTAAGATTCTACTTCTTGTCAGCTCTGGGAAATAGTCTTATATTATTTCTTTGATAATTTCTTCCCTCTTCATTTCTGTGATCTCTCTACAACTTCTACTAGTTTGCAGGATGAGTAAAGATTAATGAGAATTAGGAAATAAAAAACTATAAATCTGTGTTGAACTCTGATTAATGAGATGTGTGCTAAGATATTTAAGGGGAATGATACTGATATCTAAACATTCTTTGAAATGCATAAAAAACAAAGCATCAAAGATGGATTGTTTGCTGGAAAAAGAGAGAGAAGGGCATGCTTAATCAAGTATATTAAAATGTTAATAACAGAGTCTAGGTGGTAGGTATGTGAGTGTTCACTGTAAAATTCTTTTAGCTTTGCCGTAAGCTCAAAAATTTTAAGAGCAGAATGTTGACAACTACCAAATCCTTATACACAAGGAACAGAATGAATGTCAAGTAAAAAAAAAAAAAAAAAAAGAAAGAAAGAAAGATTCATGCCAAATCTATCACGGTGGGCCAAAAAACATAGCTCAACAAAAGCCAATTACAATTATACTAAAGTTTGAAAATATGGAAAAAGCCACAGAAAAATCTGATACTTGAATGAATTATTTCATTTACAGTATCTTTTTCTCTCAATTATTCTGATTTATTCTGGAAATAGATTTTCTTATCTCCAATATGTTTCATTTCTTCACAATTGACATTAACGTATTTGAAGGGGTGGGGTGGAATATTCACAGTAACCAAACAACTCATCTTTAACATTGTTCAAAAGCAATAAAACAATCATAGTCTTTACTCAGAAAAAACAATATAAAGTGTCTGAATTCAATGAGTCCACATTGCATTATTTTAATTTAATTATTACAGGTTTATACTTATGTGTTCCCAAACCAACGTGCTAATTTGATTTCTAAAACTAAGGTCTGATAAGGCATAAGCATTTATTTGTTCAGTCACTACAACTGATGCCCAGAAATGAGGGAAAAATAGACTTTAGGGACCCCTACTGGCTCAATCAGTCACAAAACTATCTTTTGAAGAAGTTTTTGGGATCAGAACTCTCCCAATTAAGTTACTGCTTCAACAAATATTTCTTTATTTGAATAATCCAATAAATAATACTTCATACTTCACAGATGGCAATATCTTTACTGTTCGGCCATAAATCAAGAATTTAACCGTATCTGGGCCCTGACCAAAAAACTCATAGGTTAAGGAGAAGTATTAAATAAATGCCTGGAGTATTATCTCTATCAGTGTTTAAAAACTCAAAACTCTTAGTGTAAGAATACCTAATAAAAGAAAATTAACTGGGTTATATGGATTAATGTATGCTGAGAGATTAAAAAAATAAACAAAAATTACAGATTTATTGTCCATGTGACTAAATCACATGGCAGAAATGCACTGAGGCTGCTCGTTAACAAAGGAAGCATTTTCTATTAAAGATTCTTTAGCTTTTAATAATACTTTTTCAGGGAAAATCTATCTGAAACTCTAACAGAAATCAATATAAAATACAAACATATAATCTTGTATTTATTTTACACTACATAAAACTCCAAGGCTAAAACTAATCAAATAGATTACTATATAAAAACCAAAGGAATAAATGCATAAAATAAAATGTAATCATGTGAAATTATGGGTGTAAAGGAAAGATAGGTGCTGTGGTAGTATAGTGCCTAAGGCACTTGACGGCTGACCAGAAGGCTGGCGGTTCAAACCCACCAGCCACTCCTTGGAAGGAAGGTTGGGCAATCTATTTCCATAGTTATTCTACTTTGGAAACCCAAGGAGGGGTCGCTATCAGTCTGGTCTGACTCGATGGCACATAACAACAACAACAACAACAACAAAGGAAAGATACACAGCAGGAAAAATAAATAGTAGTTGTAAAACATCGGAAGTGAATAAGGAAGGGCCACAGTATAACAGGATGAAAATAATTAAATTCTAGTCTTTGTTCTGCCACCGTTTCAATGACCTTGGATAAATAACTGAACCTCTTTGCCTAAGTTTCCTCAACTGTGAAACAGATACTGGCTCTATCCATCTTTCTCAGTATCATTATGAAGGCCAAATGAGAATGTATGTGAAAGTGATGGGATTTCACAGCTATATAAATAAGCTATTCGTAAGTGCCTACCATATTCACTTATGCTAGTAAAAATATTACTTTTATGTCATTTATTAAGGTGACAAAACAAAACAAAAAACTACATGATTTGAAATCACATTTCTTTGTCATTATTAAAGAATCTTGCCTGTGATAAATAGATGGCTTATATACAGTGAGAGTCTTATACAGAATTTTAATATTCAAATAATAAAAACTGCTTTTATATTTGAAAGTAGTATGTTTGCCATAGAAAATATAGAAAGTTAAAAAAATTGAAAGATAAAAACTGTCCATATTCTTACCATCTGTAAATAACAATATTTTAGTGCATTTATCCCCAGTCTATGTTCTATAAATACACACATACACACACATAGATACTGTTGTGTTGTTAGGGGCTATCAAGTCATTTCTGACTCAAAGTGATCCCACATATGACACAATGAAACACTGCTTGATCCTGTACCATCCTCACAATCACTGATGTATTTGAGCCCATTGCTGCAGCCACTGTGTCAATCTATCTTGTTCAGTCTTCTTCTTTTTCACTGACCCTCTACTTTACCAAGCATGATGTACTTCTCCAGAAACTGGTCTCTCCTGATAACATCTCCAAAGTACATGTGATGAAGTCTGGCCATCTTTGTTTCTAAAAAGCAATTCTGGCTGTACTTCTTCCAAGACAGATCTGTTCGTTCTTCTGGCAGTCCAGGTCTATTTAATATTCTTCGCCAACACCATGATTCAAAGGTATCAATTTTTCTTTCTTTGGTCTTCCTTGTTCACTGTCCAGCTTTTGCATGTATATGAGGCAAGTGAAAATAGTGTGGCTTGGGTCAGGGACACCTTAACACTCAAGGCGATGCCTATGCCTTTTAGCACCTTAAAGAGGTCTTTTCTAGTAGATCTGCCCAATGCAATATGTCATACACACACCTGCACGCATGCATACGCACATTTATACAACATACATACGAAAAAAAAAAAAAAAACCAACCCTAACTTACCTCCATGGAGTGATCCTGATTCATAGCAACCCCTCCTTGGGTTTCTGAGGTGGTATCTCTACGGAAGTAAATTGCCCAGTCTTCCTTCCAAGGAGTGGCTGGTGGGTTTGAACTGCCAGCCTTTTGGTTAGCAGTCAAATGCCTTAGGTACTATGCCAACAGAGCTCCTTTTATACACACACTAACTTCTAAAAACAAAATCAAGCCACAGACAGACAGACAGTTAACCTGCTTTCTTATTTCAGGAGCATTTCCCCATGTAAAAAATATTTTTCTAAACTGTTTTTAGGAGCTCTGGTGGTGCAGACTGCTAATCTGCAAGCATCTGGCTGCTAATCAGGTCAGCAGTTTGAACCCACCAGCTGCTCTGTAGGAGGAAGATGAGGCAATCTACTTCCATAAAGATTCACAGCCTTGGAAACCCTATGGGGGGGCCGCTAAAAGCCAGAATTGACTTGATGGCAGTCGGTTTCTAAACTGGTTTTAGTGGTTGCATAAGGAATACATTTCTAAGGTATGAGATAATAATCTCTAGAAAGATAAGGAGGTACACATCACTCACTGCTCATAGGAGTGTAAACAGATAATCAATTCGGCAGTATTTGTGTTATACCCAATACTGTATTTCCCTACAGAAAATTTGAATTTATACAAGCAGGTATATACAAAGATAAACTAGTTAACTGTGGTTGCCTCTGAAAAGGGGAATAGGATGGTAAGAGAATGTGGGATAAAGGAAAAAGGACTTTCACTGTAAATCCTTCGGTATCACTCCCAGTAAGACCTCCCAACACCTAAGCTGTACTTACCAGAATTTTATCAGCTTTGGCTTCACTAATCCCTTTAATATTAATTAGCTCCTTCTTCGGTGCATAGGCAACAGCCTCAACAGTATGGAATCCAGCTTCTTCCAATTTCTTCACATCATTGGCATTTATGCCACATTGCTACAAAGAAAGAAGACCATGGATTAATTTAAACTTCATCTGTCAAACAGGAATAATATCTGTCCTACTTATATACAGTGTTCTGAAGAAATGTGATATAAACAAAAACTCTGAAAAGTGTACCCCATGAATGGGGATTCAATAACAAATTCCACCAGCCACTACATGGAAGAAAAATGTGGTCTGCTTCTATAAATATTATACCCTTGGAAACCCTATTGGGCAGTTCTAAGTCAAAAGGACTCAATGGTAATAGGTTAATAACAAACAAATGAACTTTTCTTTATAAAAATCAGTAATTTTACACTAATGCAAAGTCACATCTATTAAAAAGGATTTATTATATATTGGGATTAAACCAGTAACTCCCAGCCTTTTATGATTGTGAATCTAAATAAGCTTTGAAACCCTGGGCCATAAAAAAACCAAACCTACTGCCATTGAGTCAATTCTGACACACAGCAACCTTATAGGACACTTAAATCCAGTGTTTCCCAACATTTCCACGTAAAGTCCATACAGAAAATGTATTTTTGTTATTGTTAGGTGCCGTCAAGTTGGCTCCAACTCATAATGACCCTATGTACAAAAGAAGGAAACACTGCCCAGTCATGTGCCATTCTCACAATCCTTGCTACACTCGAGCCCATGATTGCCACTGTGTCAATCCATCTTGTTGAGGGTCTTCCCCCTTTTCACTGACCTTCTACTTTATCTACGATATCCTTCTCCAGGGACTGGTTCCTTCTAACAACATGTCCAAAATAGGGAAGATGAAGTCTGGCCATTTTTGCCTCCAAGGAGCATTGTGGCTGTACTTCTTCCAGGACAGATTTGTTTGTTGTTCTATTCTTCACCAACACCACAGTTCAAAGGCATCAACTCTTCTTCAGCCTTCCTTCTTCATTGTCCAGCTTTCACATGCATATGAGACAACTGAAAATACCATGGCTTAAGTTAGGTGCACCTTAGTCTTCAAAGTGACCTCTTTGCTCTTCAGCACTTTAAAGAGATCTTTTGCAACAGATTAGCCCAGTGCAATAGGACATCTGATTTCTTAACTGCTGCTTCCATGGGTGTTGACCGTGGATTCAAGTAAAATGAAATCTTTGACAACTTCAATCTTTTCTCCATTTATTGTGATGCTGCTTGTTGGTCCAGTTGTGAGAATTTTCATTTTCTTTATGTTACATATTGCAGATTGTATTCTTTAATCTTCATTAGTGAGTGCTTCAAGTTATCTTCACTTCCAGCAAGCAAGGTTGTGTTGTCTGCATATTACATGTTGCGAATGAGTCTTATTCCAATCCTGATATTACACTCTTTTTCATAGAGTCCAGCTTTTACACTATTCTGGAGTAAAGAGATAAGGCTGTGCCAAAGCTGGGGGGATCACCATCTTGGCATATCAACTCTTTTATAGCATGATTGAGAAGCTCTCCTCTAAATTAGTGATGTTAAGACTGGGGAAAATTGGCAGAAGACATGAATAGACACTTCACCAAGGAGGATATTCAAGCGGCCAACAAACATATGAAGAAATGCTCACGATCATTAGCCATTAGAGAGATGCAAATCAAAACAACAATGAGGTACCATCTTGCTCCAGCACTAATAGCAAAGTTCAACAAG